CTCAACTCAAAGAGCAAAACCATGGGGGGCGGGCCGCGGGATGGACTCCCCCTCCCAATCTATATCAGTCAAAATTAGCTCATTCGGAATAGGGTTAATCCGTGTAACTAGACTACATATTGTCACTTGAATAATCAGAAAACACTGAGATAATTTTTCTCAATAAAGAAATATATTTAAGACGACATACATAAACTTGTTTACTTCAGTGGTCAACGTTTATTACCCAACTTTAATTTGGACATTTTTTCAAAATAGATCGGATTTTAGTAAAACAAAATATCGTCCTTTTGTTTTTTTGTTTTTCACAAGTTCAAAACGAACAGTTCGTTTCGTTAGTTTTAGCCCTTGTTTTTTAAACAAAGGTTTGTTAGTTTTGAAAAGTCAAAAACAAAACAAAAAAATCTTGTTTTTTTCGAGCGTTTTTAAAAACGATTAACAACCATTTTCCTAGCCTTGTTTTTTTACTTTGAGAGAAAATTGCGTTCTTATGCCACACCTGTATGCGATTCCATTATTAATTAGAGATGAATTCTTATTTCGGGGCTAAACAGTTCAAACAGTAAATGGAAATATTTACTTTTATTGAAATTATAGTGATGTCTTTAGTAGGATTATCCATTATTTTGAAATAGTTTTGCATCTCTCTTAACTAAATAAAAAAAATAAAAGAGCGATGAAATAAGGAATTTAATACTAGCAGTTGTCTCCGATTTTTTGTTTGTCCTATACAAAAGTTTATAGACTTTATCAGACATTATCTAAAACTTCAAATATCGTCTTCTAGAGCATAAATAGGAATAGGAAATTTATAAATGTCGTCTTACACTGCAAATTTCCAACAAAGATTTGAACTCATTTTGGAATAAAACCCATTATAACGACTAAAAAGTAAAAACTCTTAAAGATAGTAAATAACTCATTGTTGGTTTTCAATGAAAATAGTTCAAATTTTAAGCACAAAAAATCATGTATTGGAGATATAAAGGGTCTGCCGATTATGCGAAAAACTTTTAACTTTCCCCTAACCTCCTATCGAATTTTGAAAACATGCATGGAAAATGAGCACAGAAATATTTAACCTTACTCTTGGATTTTAGATAAGAAGCTCGATATATTTTCTACAAGAGTTGGTGACCAAGGTTTTGTTAAAAGCTTGGATATTCATAATAATTTTTGACAGATTTTGTACCTGCAAGTTTAAATTTGGCCAAAACCTGGATTATCGACTCACAGTTTGTTCTAAGATGTTCGAAAGTTATAACTTGGCCAAAATTTAGATTAAAATTTGGGAAGTCGCGTTTGGGAAAAAATCTTCGAAAAGAGTTCTTCCTCTGTAACACTGTCTGAATGGAAATACAGTCTTTGAACTCTTTGTCTTAATCATCTAATCTAGCAAAAATAAGCTATGATAAATGTCGTCTTTAGCCTTGGATAGTTTAAAGGAACTGCATTGCCATCTGTAAGTAAAGGGTCACTTGAAATTACACTTTCAGTCCCTGTAACTAAAAGTTCGTTTTCCCCCCTTTCCGTTTCAAAACGTAAAACGATTTTTTAGATAATGATAAAAACTATAAATAATGGTCCCACCTCGAGAAGCATAGTAAATTTATGGGTTAAAAAAATTTTAGACTATAAACAAAGAATGGTTAGACCTTGTGTAAATATTTTCCTTGTTTTATGAACGTCACAATCATATAGATTGATGTCATTAAGTGGATTATTTACTAAACTACTTACATATAATTCTGGGTACATAGTTTTGAGCTTAACAGTTTTTGCATTAATTTCGAACTAATAAATGTAGTGTGCTTCGGGGCCAGACCAGTTTGAGAAAATGAAAAATATGATCCTTGGAATTTTTATTTCAAGAAAGTGTGAGAAAATAGGATTTTGTCTTAAATTTAAAAACCTTACATTTTAATTTAGAACAGACCCTGTGATTTTAATTTACCCCTTGGGATCTTAACTGAAAGTCGGCGAAAGGTTAGAGCAAGGTTATAATGCAAGGAAAGTTAATTGCAGTGCGTACATATTGAAACCAGTTCTCTCTGGGCGGAATAGATGCATCAATGTTCGTTCAGTATCCGTGGAGGTTAATTCACATAATAGTTTCATTGATTTTTTATTTGAAAGATGGATCCCATGTCAGGCTTCGACATCCATCTTGTGTTTACATTACCGACCAGAGACGGTACTGCAGTACAAAAGATGCGCACACCTCTGAAATAACTTTCCTTGTATTATAACCTTGGATTAGAGTATAGAATGCTGATAGGCAATGTGTACAGGGAAATTGTACAGTCCCCTCAAAATTTGACGAAAAGGTCAACATGTACATATAAAGAAGAGGGGGATTTTGATTCATAATCAAAATATTTTGTAGACGTTATTTTGATTATGAATAAAAATTTAGAGAATAGTTTTTAAGCCTTTGTCCATGGTCCCTAAAGGAACTGCAGACGTAATATTTAGTTCACGGAGGGCCCCTAAGCTTTACAATATTTTAAAAAATGAGTAAGATATCAATATTTTTTAACCTTAACAAGTAAAAGGGACTGGCAAAAATGGCCAGAATTCAAACACTTTGATAGCAAAAAGACGATATCTTACAAATTATATATCAGACAAAGTTAAATATATATGAATTTTGAAAAAAATCCACTGTCATATATAATTTTTGTGCTCAAAATTGAAAATTTTTCTCTAAAAAAACTGTTATTTTTTTTTCTCACGAGCAATTTCTATTTCTATTCATACGCATGATAAAAATTTAACATCCAACATGCCTCTGTTTATGTGATAAGTGAATTAACTTGATATAAAAGGCCAAAAACGGAAAATTATAAAGCAAAGCTAGAAAATATTTGTTATGTTTTTATTTCTTTTTACTTTGAAAAGATTATTTGATAACTACACGGTTAAATAAAATGGTAAACAAATATCTAAAATCTTTATACATTATCCAACAAGAAAGGAACAAAGCTGTAAGAATAATTGTATATTTGTACAACAAATTTATTAATAAAAAAAAACAATATTTTAATTGGATACCATCAGGTTTTAAGTCAAAACACATAAATTTTTTCTTTGGAATATATTAATAATAATGCCGTCTACTGAATTATAATCTAAATTTTCAGGAAATGCCATCTAGCTAGGGAATTAGGAGTAAATCCATTTTTAAGATACTAGGCTTTTAGGGCGCTTCGAGCCCATCTACTATTTCAACTTTTAATTGTGGCTTTATCTCTGAACATCTTCTCTTTGTACAGTATAAAACAAAAACAAAAAAAGTTTGCGGATTTCATAATATTTTTTTGCGCATTTTCAAAATTTTCAAAAATTTAATGTTGATCGAATTTTGATGGAGACAAATATTCAAAATTTCAATCATTCATAAACCTTCCCTGGGGTCCCTAGATGTTGCACAAAAAATTTGGGCCCGATCGGTTCAGCCGTTTTGACGTTTATTGGATACAAACAGACAGACAAGCCAAATTTATCTATAGACTAGAAATTCAGTGCGCTTCGCGGCCTTCTTTCTAGGATTTTAAGGCGCTTCATAAACCTTCCCTGGGGTCCCTAGATGTCCCACAAAAAAATTGGGCCCGATCGGTTCAGCCGTTTTGACGTTTATTGGATACAAACAGACAGACAAACAGACAGACAAGCCAAATTTATAGATAGATTGTAGAAATCAAGTGCAGGTCTAAAAACAAATGTATCTTTAGTTTCAAGACTTGATTAAGCTGATTCTGGTTTTTTTGCGGTTTTTTTGAACTGTTAATGGCATTGTCTCCCAATTATGTGAGTTGTCCTTAACACTCTTGGACACGTTTTAGCAAAAATTCAAAGCCATAAGTGAACTTTATGACTGTTTAAGCACTGCCTATAAAAGGGTTTTTGAAGTGGAATCCTTAAAAATCACATCAAAACGACTTTTTCAGGCCGTATATAGTCAGTCAAGCAGATGAATTTGGACTTTGATTTTTCACTACAATATGGCTTTTGACTGTTCATGAATAGTTACAAAAAGTGGGAACCCTGCCATAACATTAAAAAAATATTGTAAAAAAACCAGAAGATGCATATTTAGGTTGTTAAACAAAATTTATGTTTGATTTTAGACCTGTAAATGCACTAGATTTCTGAGATATCTTTAAAATGGATTTGTGGAAAATTCCCCAGATGACACTTTCTGAAAATTGAGATTTTAACTCAGTAATAGACTGCATATTAACATCTTCTGAAGAAAAAGATGTCTTGGCTTGAAATCTGATGGTCAATTCACAGCAGTGTGAGTTATAATAGTTTTTGATTTTCAACAGATGGGGGGGGGGCACCCCCCTTCCTCCCTGTAGGAACCTGAAATCCCGAACGAAATGCGAAAAAATGCGAAATTTAGTGAGCTGTGGCAGTCTATAATTATAGTTACTGCACGGTTAATTGCACGTTTAAAAATAAGATAAAGGCGCCCGGTGTGGGGTGGGACTAGGAATGAGTATGAAATTAAATAAACAATAAGCTTTGTATTTTGAGTAAGAAGTGTCGTAGAAAGGTAATTACAGGGATGAAAGGTTATTCAAAACTTTGTGAAAACTTAAAAGTTTAATGTTTGTTCATAATATTTGAAATTGAAGTCACACAAAAATTAAACAATATTTTTTATTTTTATTTTGTTTTTTTTTAATTTCAAAGGATAAGATAAAAATGCCAATTAATATCAAATAAAAGATTTCGGCCTGAAATTTATATAACCTTAAATGCTGACTGCAAATACATATGATTGGTAGTATATTAGCAAAAGTAGTTTTTTTTAGAATTAACCTTGACATTGCAAAGAATATTAAACTTTTTACAAGCAATGTTGCTATTTTTGAATAAATACCGATAATACTAATGGAAAGGATATTCTCCCTTAGGACGCAAACCCCTAACCTTTTAATAACTATTTTATTGCTCAGCAGTGGTAAAACATCCCCCATGAAGAAAAGAGATCTAAGAGGGGGTCAAAAATGTTGAAAACCTAGCTTTCACTGTCATCTTACTTACTCAGTACTCAGTACTCACTTGCACTTCAGTTAGGACAGAGTAATCAGTGAATCTGGAACGCAAGAAGAAAATATGTTGCTTTCTTTGTAAGTAGAAAATGCTTCCTGGAATTTAACAAATCGTGTACGGTACTAAAAAAATCATAAAACTAAATTGACCAAAGCAACCAAATAATAGAGAAATTGGGACATCCTACCCTGGAAAAATTTGAAGTGCAACTAGGGAGAGGGGAGGTCTTCTGTTTCTTTTAAATTTGGTTTACAGAATGAATTAAAAAAATGTTTTATATTCCGCGGCGCTCCTTTCCAAAACAGGGGAGTGGANGGAACTGATTAAAAGGGAATTGAGTCTTTGCAACAAACTCTGATTTTCTAATCCATTTATTCCTTATTAAAAATATATTTTTTTTCTCTCAATATAGTTCGTCAAGAAGAAGATTTTAATTAAAAGCATCACGAATCTTACATGTTTTCAATAATAACTCATGATAAAGAGCTATGGAGAAGAACAAAAAAGTTTTGAATTTCTGATATTTATAATGACACCGGATAAATTTTACTCTCACACTACTAAGTGTAAAATCAAAGCTAAAGGAGTTACGAGGTCGCAAAATCGTAGCATTTTCCTTTGGTCTACGTTGTAATGGAGAGGATGGATTCAAACCTTGTGAGGAAGGATCTAAACCTTGGGAACAGGGTTTTTACCTTGGGAGGAAGGTTTCAAATGTTTTAGAAAAGTTCAACAAACCTAGGAAAGAAGAAAAATATTCCTACATATTTCTAGTTCTTTTAGGACTTTCTCTAATTTTATTAAAATCATGTCCAAATTCTGTTAAACGGAGAACATCAAAACAACTATCATATTCATCATATCATAAAACTAAATAATTTCGCGGAATTTCTTGGTTTCGCTGGTGGATTTAATAATTTTTTTTTATAAATCTAATTTATCTTACATATGAAAACAATTTGTTCCCTTAGCGTCATGTACAATGGGGTGTACTGTACACAGAGTTAAACACAATTAGCCTCATGAACTTTCACACTGATAATTGTATAGCATATATCTCACCCTGTAGTTTACACTTATTGCATATTATATGTCTCAGTAAGTGAAAATTGTTACTTTTACAGATTGTAAAGTTTTAAAAATACCGAATTAAAGTAGAATATTAAACAAATCAGAAATGAGAACTAGGCTTAAAGGGACTGTAGACATAACTTTAAGTGACCCTCCATTAATAGAATGACATTTTGGTACACAATGGTAAACTTTTATTAATCAAGAATATATATCCTTAATTTTCTAGTTAAATCTGTTTTTTTGTGGTTTTTCTAGCAAAATGACTTGCAGATTTATGTTGCAAAGACAATTAAGTTCATTGCTAGAATTCAGTACGTTTTATTTATATGTAGAAAAACTACGATATCTCAGACAGGACAGAGTACCGTTTTGCATCGGACATGCCACTATTTAAATAAAGGGTCGTTTGAAATAACGTCTCCAGTCTCTTTAAAGCTTACTATGTTTAGTTTACGGGATGAAGATCGAGGGGAATCTAAATCTTCAGTCAAACAAATATCTAGAAACAAAAAGGTCAGACTTTTTTATTTTAAGGATATATTATGTGTGTGTATACTGCATGTGTAAAATCCATGCTTCATTTTGGATTATATACACTTTTTATTGAGAAAAGTGACGTTGCTGTGATTTTTTATTTTAGATGTGTTTTTATGTACTGACTTGAAATAAAAAAAAATATATTTGAATAAAAATTATTATACAGGAAAATGATGTACCAAGATTGAGTTTGAGTAAACAATTTTCAGAACTATCAATAGGTAAATAAATGAAGCATTCATCAATTGAAAAAATAAATATAACACATAGGCTATATTTTTGTAAACGTTTCACACACATGCCTGAAGCTGGAAAAGGATTGAAAAAGATCGACAAAAACAATCAATGCAGCGTCATTAAGGGACCCTATGGGAAAAAAAGAACGCATAAAATGTTATCTCAGTCAATAATGAAATAATAGCATTCTACATCTCCAAGTAGACATTTTAGAAAAAAAAGGTTTGAGAAATAATATTTTACCCCTTGTTCTGAGAAAAAAATTCCAAATTATTTTTTGTCACTTTATAGTAGCATATATTCCAAAAACTGACTTGCATTGGCTAGCGAGTCTAAAGAAAAAGTAATGGCGGAGACCCCTTCTTATCAAATGCCATCTCATCTCGGACTCTCAGATTTGGATTGAAAACCCCAAACTTAATTAGAGACCCCATATTTTTGTTAAAGACTCAATTTTATTTGGGATCTCTATGCTATCTCATCGAAGACCCCCCTATTCCATCAAAGACTTCTATATTTTTCTTTAATTTTTAGGTCTTAGACCTCTGGATTTTCATTAGAGACCGTAAGCTTTCTTCCCAATGGTTTTCTGTTGAATAAGAGGGTCTCCATTGAAAATTTAGGGGGTCTCCGACATAGATCCACGAAAAAAATATAATAAGCCTCCGATAAAAAAGGGGGAGCACCATTAAAAATTAAATAATATTTTATTTAGATTCTCAAAGATCTCGCGGAGGAATTCAGGTAAACATGTTGTCAATTGTTTCTTATGTGGGTTTAAAAGTACTACTCTAACATTAGAATAATGAGCTTTTTGTCAATATATTGAACATTTACGATGGGTTTTATAAGTAATCAATGGCCGAATTTATAGAATTTAAGCGGCGGTTTAAATTTAAGCCGCGGCTTAAATATGGTTTGTTCCACTTAAAATTGTATCAAATGTTTCAAGATTTAAGCCGGCGCTTAATTTAAACCGGGTTTTGGCAGATTTAAACCGCGAATCAAATTCGTTAAATTCCATCTCAAGACAACTATATTACAAAAAGTAAATAAGTTAGTTGATCTCTTCTTGTTTTAATGGCCAGTTATATTTGTTTTTAAAATTAAGTTAAATGTGTTTTTAGGCTGAATTCGAGACTTTTGATAAACAACGAAAAGCAATCATGACTGAGGGATCAATCTTTATAAAAGAGTACTTAATTTAAATGAAAAAAGAGCCTTTGCCACAAACTCTGATTTTCTAATCCCTTTATATCATTGCAACCCAATGGCGTAGAAATTAGATATTTCAAACTATAAGTTCTGTAAGATCAAATTATCTACGGTTAAAAAATCAAAGGTTTACTCCATATTGTTGCAAAGATAGGGTTATAAAACTCATTTTTGTGGCAACGTCTCAATTCCTTTACCAATATTCTATTTTAAATGTGCATTGTCAATTTATAAATAATAAATAATAATTTATTATTTAATTTTTATAAAATTAATGAAGTTAACAAGGTATTTATTTGAAATAAAATTATTATGATTTGAATATTACAAGTTACAGTTAAGACATGCGTCAGTTCCGGAAGAAAAAATGGTATTTAAACTTTTTCAACGATTCAAATTCTCAACTTGTTTGTTTTTACTTTGCAATGAACTGAAAAGTCGAATCTTAGAAATCTTGACTAAAAAAGTTTTTAAAAATGCTTTTCTTATAGTACGGCAAACAAGAATTTAAGTTGTCTCCCTGTATTTCTTAGTCCACAAAGTGGGTCACTAGACTAAGTTTAAATTTTTGTTGACATTAAGTTTATTTTTGAAAGTGTTGACATTAATCTTAGAAAAGGTTGAATTTCAGGATTTATACTATCAGATGCAGGTAACAAGACATTTAAAGTTTTAAAACAGAATCTAAAAAAATCCGCATTTCCGGCTGCTTGAATTTGTGGCCAGCAACGAATCCAATTTTTGTGACTAAATTTTCAAAATCAAACTGTAACTAGATTTTTCTTTTAAATTAGAAAAATCTCGAAAATGTTTTTAATTAAAAACTTCAACTTGTCTGTAATCTGGTTTAATGAGGAAAAATTATCCTAATTAAAGAAGAAGCTGTTTGACGTTTTTCAGATATATTGTTTACATTGGTACGCATATTCTAAAAGAAACCTGAAAATTCTAAAAATACACTTCTGGGCTTTGGGTCGGAAATAATAATTATTAGTCACGTAAGAATAAAACCGTTTGAATTAAAAATTTAAAATTTTTAATTGTTTTCTTCCTTTTAAGACAAAAAAAGAATATTGTATTTTAGAGGGCTAGAGTAGGAACTGCTGTTATCATTAATAATCTTGATACAGAGCAATCTCCGACTAAACATGATGTAGAAGTTATGGTGAGTAATACAAAAAAGCTAAAATCAGTTAGTTTTTAATTGGAAATGCAATGCAAATTTTGCAATTTCTGATGCAAACATTTACTGTCTGCCAATATGATTATTGAGTTTTCTGGTTTCTAAACAAAAAGTAAAAGAACGTGTACGAAAACATTTTGCTTTTCTCGTTACGCATTAAATGTTTAATTGGTCGTCCAATTGTCAGTTTTTATTATTAATTTTGCGTTTGGGTTCAAATCTTACGTTCCCGCTTTGAGCATAATCCGCCATTCATAGCAAATTTCACGTTCAAAACTTACGATATACAGGGTTACCCATAAAGAATAAGACTGTAAAGACGACCTAAAGCTCTAAAAATATGACAAATTAAAGCTTGTTTTTTGGTTTCTGTATTTAATTGAGTATTTTGATGGTTATCTAAATGATTAAACATAGAAATACCCCAGTTTTGGCCTACAAGAAACCCTGAATGCAAGAAAACGGACTAAACAAATTCCGTACAATCGTCTCTGAAGTCTCATCCGTTGTGGGTATCCCTGTAAATCATTAAAAACCGCATGTTTTTATTTAGATTTTACCTTATTAAAAATCTTATTTTTTACGAAATTGCGTGAATATCTGAAAATTTACATTGAAATGATATTTGAGTTTATGTCTCGAAATCAGGATTTGAAATGCTGTGGAGTGTTTCAAAATAGAGATATGTTTGAAGATGAAATCAATAATCCCCTAAAACTTGTTGTGGAGTCTTTTTTGGGTCGCAAACAACCAACTCAGAAAATTTTAAATGCATGGAGATTTTTCTTAAACTACTCCAAACTTTTTTAACTAAGTAAATATTCATTGCAAACATCTCAGGTTATATCTAATTAATATAAAAGCAAATCAAAAATAACATTTAAAAAGAATCACCCTGAAGGTTAAATATTTTTCAGGCTAACGTACTGGCAGATATAGGGTTTAATGTCGAAATTTATAAGGTAACAATATATTATTGTGAAAGCTAGTGATCACGAACCAAATGTGTAACAAATATTTTGAATATTTTAACTGACAGATCAGAAGTAAAAAGAATCCAGAGTCAAAATTATTCCGAAATCAAGATTTTTTTGTCCTATTCCATGTCTTTTTTGGACACAAGAAATTTCTTTTTATTCCAAAATCATTTAATGTTCATTCCAAAAGTTCTACAATTCTACATTCGCTAGAAGTTGTAAAAAATGTTTTAGCACAGATGTTTCATTGTCTATCTCAAAACCAACAAGTATTTTCAATTATTTTCCTTAAATTCTCCAGTATTTTCCTGCAATGCTACCTATTCATTTTCAGTCTCAATAATTACATTTGTCATGAAAGCAACAAAAAATATTTACTTATTTTACAGGCTGAATGTTGTTTTCCTCTTTCTCTCTAAAATAAAACAAAAAATATTTTAAAAGATTGTTTAGCTTTTTCTTCAAATCCTGTTAGCTGAATTCATTCTTCGTCATAAAGATTCTTGCGATATCTGTAATTTGGAATGTATTTGAAAATATGTTTACTCCTGTATAGAATTAAGTAGATGTAAAATAGAGATTTAATCATTTATTTTGCTCAAGGATTTAACCAGCCAAGGGATGAACACTGTAAAGCGAAAAATAACAACTGAATCAATGCATAGGGACTCAAACTGTTTTCTTTTACTTCTTATTAGGTAAATAATAATCAAATTTTTACGCAATAAAGCCCAAAAAATTAGATTGAATATTTTGATTCCTATGTTATGATATTTAGAAGTGGTCATTTTTATTTTTTTTTTTAAATCTACATTTGATCTATTCACATTTCGTCAACATAAATTTGTATAATCAATTGTGACAATTGGAACATTAGCAATAATTAAAATTTGTGTTGATTATGATCCAAATCAACGTTTTTTAATACATTTTGATCTTTGGGTTGACCCACTTCAGCTTTTGAGATTTGTTTCTGTCAAGAAGATTAAAAACAATCCCTCTATCTTCGTAATTTTATATTCAAAAAATTAGACTATTTGATCCGTAATAAATATCAAAAATCTGGGACCAAATTCAATGAATTGAAGGGGCCTGATTAATTTTTAATTGCCAATTTAAATCCTTCCTGAATCTATAATTTATAATCGGTTGTTCAAAATTTTAATCGGCATCTACTGCTGATTAGTTCATTGACATAGATTATTGAATTCGGTCCTGGGTTGCAAAGATTTACGGATCAGAAAATTTGAGTTATTTTGCTAAGTCTAAAAAGTAATATCTGATTTTTTAGTCATGGAACTGCGGACAACTTTTTGTTAGATAAGGTAATAATTGGAAAATTGTCAATCTAAACATATTTTATCGATATTCTGAAGTGCGCTAGAAATATTAATGTGTAGCTAACACAGCCATTAAACGAGATTTTGTCAACCATTAACATTAAGACCCCCCTTGCTATGCTATGCTATGCTATGCTATGATATGCTATGCTACGCTATGCTATGCTTTGCTATGCTATGCTATGCTATGCTATGCTATGCTATGCTATGATTTGCTATGCTATGCTATGCTGTGCTGTGCTATGCTATGCTATGCTGTGCTATGCTATGTGCTATGTACACCCTAGTGTACAGACCACAGTTGGGTCAGTACATTTGAAATCAGTCACTTTTTCCAAATAGTCAGTTGGCACCATCTTCGATATTTTTCAAACTTTAAATATTAAAATACCTTTGTGAGACATTACATAATTAGTAATTATTATACTCTGTTGACCTCCGTGTGCGAGCACTGAGTTCGTAAAATTTTGACCTCTGCAAAAAAAGTCATTTCAAATTACCATAACTTTTTTTCTATTTGAGATATCGACCTAATTTTAACGCTATTAAAAAGATAATGAATAAGGCTTTATTTGTTTGTTCATAAATAAGTTTCATAAGTGCAATCTTAATAATAGATTAATTACAAAGATAATCAAGTCAAATTATGTTGTTTTGCAAAGGTCAAAACTGTATAACCTCAGTGCAACACATACAGAGGTCAACAGGGTTTAAAAATTATTTGATTATGGGTCTTCTATTATTTACAGTTTGAAAAAAATCGAAGATGGTGCCTAAGGGGGCGACTAATTTCAAATGGATTGACCCAAATATATACTAAAAGCCGACTTCTTAAATATCAAATAAATCTTTCTTCTTTCATATTTAAAGGGAGTGACCGGCTGTGTAAGGTAGTTGAATGAGGACGCAGTGTTGTGGAAAACTTCTTTAGGATTCATTTGAGATATATAACACTTTTTAAAAGTCTGTAAATCCTGAGTTTGAGCGCAAATTCGACGTTCAAAACTCCTGATTTGGGGGTGGATACGCTTTCAGAATTATTTTAGCATTGATTTATTGACAAATTTCTTTTGTGAAATATGTTCCTAGCCATCTAATTAGATTACTGTATAATTTTTACTTTATTTTTCGTTGTCGTTATTTAATAATTAAAAAAAAACTAATTCTGAAAGCGTATCCACCCCCAAATCAGGAGTTTTGAACGTCGAATTTGCGCTCAAACTCAGGATTAACAGATCTATAAAAAGTTTAATATGTTTCAAATGAATCCGAAAGAAGTTTTCGACAACACTGCATACTCAGTTCAATTACCTTACATAGCCGGTCACTCCCTTTAACTTAGTTTTGATTTTCTAGAACTTGGTCGGTAAACCAAAGCTGTTTTTCATAGAAGCTTGCAGAGGGAAGGAGCAGAACCAAGGAATGGTTCTCATGTCTAAGGTTATTAATTTGTAAATCATGTTTTTGCTATAATATGTATTTGTTAAAAAAAAGTTAAATATCAAGAAATTTTTGTTTAACTTGTTTTTTTTTATTTCGGCACTCCCTCTTCTCCTTTTCAATTTGTGCCAAGCCCACTTAATTTTTTCAATTTAAAATCTAAAAAATGTGTTCTGAATATAATACTATGATAGAGGCCTTGGGTCCTTATAGACATCACTTTTAGATTGTATTAAATTATTAAAGGATATTAATTGAGGATTTCACAAGATAGACAACGGTTTTTTTTAAAGTATTACCAAGATGTTGAAAATTTTAGTCAGTTTTGCTTTTACTTAAAAATTTTAAAGCTAGTTCAAAATTATTAGTATCTCCTTCAATTAATTTAATTACAAACACAACAGGTTAAATACATTTTGATGAAACAGGTGTTTTTTACTCAAGTGATATGAGTTACCAGAATTATACGATTTAAAGGAACTGAGTGTTTGCCACAAACCAAAATGGTTTAAACCTTTGAAATTGTAATCTCATATTATTTAATCAAACAGAATTCATAGTTTGTAAATATCTAAGGTTTACCACATTGGATTGCAAACATAATGGGATTAGAAAATCAGAGTTTGTGGCAAAGACTCAATTTCTTTATCAAGAAATGGCCATTGTTTAATAAGAAACTAAACTTGATATAAAGTTTTATGCCGTTTTCACATGATGATATTTATACAAGTTCGTTGTAACTTCAGATATTTCAAACTTAAACTATTTGAATAAAGCATTGTTAATAGTTAGAAATTATGAAGATATGCGATATCAGGTTGCATGGTTGTAAGGATTATAAGGTTGTGTAAAAAAGTAAAAATGTTTCTTGTTTCTTCAGTCGAGTGCGCCTAAACCTGCACCAGCTGGAATTACCCTACCCAGTAAGCAGGTTAGTGATTAGAATCATGCACTAGATTATTCTTGTAAATTTAACCTTGTTAACCTAATGATATATTTATTCGATATTTCAATCCATCTTTAGAAATATTGAAAAAGGTTTCCAATTCTTTTTTGATCACAATCTCCTAGATACGACTGTTGACTGTAGTTTTTTTTACATAACTCAAAAAGTATTGGTCTGAGGCTGTTGAAATTTTCTGACTTTTCCTACATACCCAAAACCCTCCCTTTAGGCCGAAAACCGGGCTTTAATACTAACTGCCTGAGTCCTCAGGCACACTGCCTGAATGACTGCTTTTTCCTGTAACAAACTAAATCTAAATTTTTGCATATTTGAAATGGTATGGTCAAGGGCTTTTCAAAACTGTATAATTTTTCATTTTTTGGACAAATTTTTTTTGCAAACATTTTTACTATATAACTGGATTTTGCGATAAAAAATTCAATTTTTGCAAATTTGCAAATTTTTTTGCAGATTCTTAAAGTAGAGCACAAGAGCTTTCCAATGATGTAACATTTGTCATATTTGAACATCAAACATGGGATTTAGAGGGGGGGGGTCAAATTGACCCCCCCCCAGCATATCCTGGTTTTCAAGTACCCCAGCAGGGATAGGGTTAATTCCCCAATACTCTAACGATGTTATTGTTTATGAAAAACTTTTTTTTAAAATAACCATCAGTAATCAGTTGTATGAGTTTTCTTCTGCAATGGTAAACTAGGATGTGTTTGTTGGATTTGCAACTGTTCCTGGATATGTGTCTCTTACCGCATCAGGAGGTTCACCCTATCTTCAGGTTATCTCAATCTTTGTTATTATAATATAACAAGGATTGCAATTGTTGAATTAACGTTTCAGAAATTTTCTCTCGTGTACAGCCTCTATGGAGGGCAAATTTCATTTAAATTCTTGAAATAAAACTTTGTGAACTCCATAATTTAATCATACCAATTTCCAAACAATACAAGGCTTTTTCTGCTGCATTTTACAAATGCATATTTGGTCGCGTTATTTTGTTACTTTGGCCCAAAGTCACTTTGGGTAGGGGAAAAAAATAAATACGAGGCTTAGTACTATTTAATTTAAAATTTGATCCTTTTTGGGAAAATGATTTAAAAGACACTCCACAACACTTAACGATCTTCATTTTTTATTGAGTCCTTTAAAAGTGGTGATAATGATAATTGTGGATTAGATTTGACTTTGGGTGTGGAAAAAAAATAATACAATCATGGATTCTGCATACAAGGCTGACTACCATTTTCAAAATTTGATCCTTTTTTGGAAAATGTTAATTTTAGGATTTCTTTCTATCTCCATTATGAAATTTTGATTATGTCTTTTTTTTACTCAAGCCTAAAATGGGTACAAATACTTTCACAAAAAAGAAGAAATAATAATTTTATTTTAGTCAAAATTCTTAAAGAATTCAGGAAGAAATATTTTTTGAAAATACTTGTCCATTAATAAATATTCTGTTGTACATTTTAGGCTGTGTTATGTGCAAGGAAATTTAATTGCAATTAGAACTCTTTAATCGATCAAAGATTAGATACAGGGTGTCCCACAAAACATGACATTCAATACATAGTTATTTTTAGTTAGACAAATCTTTTGCTTAATTATATTTTACTTTGAAATCAATTTCAATATAACATGACTCTCATATAATATTTGTATTGATATTTGGTATCAAACAACTTGACAAATAATGGAAAAAGGCATTCTAAACTATTCACCAACTGTCATGTTTCGTGGGACACCCTGTAAGATAAAAAATATAACAGAAAATATTAGCAAACATTTTATGCAGCTTTAATTACAACATATTTTTTCAAATTTTACTTAATTTACTTTTTGTGTAAATTCTAAATTTTACATGTAACTGACTTTGCTTTGTTAACTAGACCTTGGCCAATGAACTGTCTCAGCATGCTTTAAGCAAAGATCTGTCCGATATACATCTTCTCGTAAAGCGGAAATTAGCAGGTATTAGTTAGGTAGTCAAACCTCACAAAGAGTCAAGAGGGACAAAATTGTTTAAAGTCATGTATGCTCAGGATGCTGAATGTTTAAAAATACATTTCTCTCGCTTAGCTTATGATAAGATTTGGATATCAACAGTTTGGGAACTCTAACACTTTCTTGAGCATTAGGGAGTAATGGACGGTTTCTGTCCTAAAGAAGCCGAGCATTATGGGGTATTGGGCGGTTTCTGTCCTAAAGAAGCCGAGCATAAAGGGTCTCCCATAAAATTCTGGGGGTCTCCAATGAAAATCTGGGGGTCTTTGACGAAAATCTTGGGGTCTCCAATAAAAATTCTGAGGTCTCCAATGAAACTCTGAGGGTCTCCCATAATAATCTGTGGGTCTCCATCAAAAATCTGGGATCTCTAATGAAAATCTGGAAGTCTCCAACAAAAATATGGGGTCTCCAATTAAAATCTGGGGGTCTTAAAAAAAAATCTACCGGTCTCAAAGAGAATCTGTGTTGTCCAACAAATTTATTTGGTTCTCCTATGAAAATCTGGGGGTCTGCAACAAAAATCTGGGGACTCAATGAAAAGTTGTGGGTCTCCAATGATAATCTGGAGGGTCACCAATGAAAAGTTGGGGTCACTAACGAAATGGTCCTAATGGTCGGTTTCTATAAGGCAGAAACCGACCATTACCCTTAATGCTAGGTTTCTGTAAGGCAGAAACCAAGCATAAGCCTTAATGCTCGGTTTCATTAAGACAGAAACCAAACATTAGGGGTAATGCTAGGTTTCTGTAAGGCAGAAACCAAGCATTAGCCCTATTGATCGGTTTCTATAGGGCAGAAACCGACCATTTCCCCCTAATGCTCGGTTTCAAGGGCAAGAACATGTTTCAAAACCCCCAACTGTTACATGTATCAAAATGGGGATAAAATATACGAAATTAAAAGTTGAATTCATAAATGTTGGAATTAAAAAATGGATCTCGAACTAATTAGTTTTTTGAAAAATCGATACAAAAAACATGAATTTTACAGGCTCAATTCACAAATTGACATGTTTGAATTTCTTTGTTACTTGACGCTTATTTCATTTGTGAAATTCGAAATATCTTATGTGGTCACGGGTTATAGACATTCTTTTTCTTTTGTCTTAAACAGATTATTTCTCGTAAAAATAAGGATATGAAAAATGTTACTAGGAATGAAGTTGGGACCTGAGGGGGTGACGCAAGGTGCTGAGGAGCGATCAAGTCTACTTAGGAATACCATTTGTAAACCTTTTATAAAAACTTTTCTTAACAGACTTATGCTTAAATTACTGAATTAAGTTTTAGATTTTTATTAACACTTTTAATTTTGAAAACTGGTATAACTTAGTAAATTGATGTTCTCGAAATACAATGGAAAATATAAGGTATTAAACAAAGTAGCAGATGAATAGATAAATACAGATTAATTGGGGTTCTTGTTTACTTAAAAATTAATGACGTTGTGATGACAGAGAGGGTCATTTCCGATACACAACAATTCCCCTTAAACCTTTATCTGATTAATAATGCTGAAGGTTTTTTCTACATCGTGTCTATAGCATAAATCCGGGAGCACCTTTTGATGAGCCGCAGAAAAAGGATTGGTAGCTCAACAATATATTTTTTGATTCATTAAAGCTTTTATGAATAGTGGATACCATTGTGAAACGGACATGTCAGGGTGTAAAGAGAGGTTTAGTATTTTTCTCGACAACTTGGAAATTAATGGATCTCGATTCTCGTGGTCTTCGATATCAGTATCGTAGGGCTCGGAGTTGGAGGCCATTTTCTTGTCTTTGATAATATTCCTAAAATATCTTTTTACTTTCTGAATGTTAGGGATCTATAACCGATGGAGGTAAATCTTGGTCATGGTTTTCACGATCTCCAGCAGAACTTTTCAGATCATCATCATCATCCAGACTAGACTCTTCACAAGGTTAGTCTTAGTTGTGTATGCTCACATATGAAAACAAAAAGTTTATTTTATTCAATCTCAAGAGAGTTGTTACCCGATTTGTTGCTCAAAATTTTTCGAATCTGTGCAATAAAAAGTGTTCTAATGTGTTTAAGAATAATCATAGATTTTAGCAAATTATTATTTGATTTATTTCATACGATTTGTAAAAGTCACTGGCCCTCCCCCCCCCCTACCAACAAAACCAAAAATTCTTATTCATGTAATATCCTTGTACATGTATGTATTTATTATTTAATGTCCTATTGTGTTATCATTGGGAGAAAAATATGCACATGGTTTATTAAAATTCAATAATTTAACTATCACTTAATTAATCATCAGGAGCAACATAAATTCAGACCTAGAACTAACAAGCCTAAGTAACAAAAAAGTATTCATTATTTGCCGCGAACTCAAATTTTCTAATTCGTATATCTTTGCAACCTGATAATGTAAACCTTTGATATTTCAAGCTTAGACTATTTAATCTGTAAGAGTTCATAGTTTGAAATATTTAATGGCATACACCACTGGGCTGCAAAGAGATATGGAGATTAGAGTTTGTGGAAAAGACTCAATCCCTTCAGGCAAAAAACATAATATTCCATGAAAATAAAAAGTTCTGAGCTCTTGCCATAAAGAAGATCTAAATTTCTAATCCTTTATTTTTGCGACCCAATGCTATAAAACTTAGATATTTTAAAATTATACTATTTGATCTGACAAAAAATTCTAATCTTTTATTTTTGCGACCCAATGGTATAAATTTTTGATATTTTAAAATTATACTATTTGATCTGACAAATTATGTATGAAAAATTTAAGTTCTTTAACATCAGGTAACAAAAATAAAGGGGTAAGAAAATTAGAATTTGTTGCAAGTGTGCAATTCCTTTTTATATTTTCGATAAACAGTTGTAAAATATGATAGAAATATTTGAAAATTAGGTTTGAGTAGTAGATCATCCTCCCCAGCATCAAGAGTGGATATTTCTAAGGTTTAAATCAATTTATCAAAAAAGAATTATAAGCTGTACTTAAATTTCTAATGTTTTGTGTTATTTCTGAAAGCAATTAGACTATAAGTATTTCTCTTGTGTATGTGTGTGGTATCAAAATAAATGTAACGTACTTTTTAATCTTAATCTTTTAAATTTTCTTTAGGAAGTCGGCTCTCATGCTCTGACTAGAGGAAAAGCTAATTTATCCAAGGGTATTATTTAATTTTCTCTCCTGCTTCTTTAAAGTAAATAGTAAATACTTTTCAACTAAAATGCTTTTGATTGAATTTGATAATTATTTTTTTCCCCCTTATAAAAATGTTATAATTTTGAAAGAATGTTTTTTTCTTTTAAATCTTTTACCTTTCTTAGATAAAACCAGACCTAGCAGTGAAATATTTACTCAACAAACCAATATCACTCAGGACCGTCCTAGGTATTTTTTATAGAACATCTTAAACTTTTATAAGACAAGTAATTTCAAAACATAATTACTACAATTAGATCCATTTTCTTCTCACCTGGATTATCACCCACATCTGTGTCAAGATCATCCTCTTCTCCTTCTGCAGTTGCTGCATCAGCTCATCGCAGGAAAATTCATTTGTCATTTAGAGATTCAATGCTTTCTTGAGTTCGAGTGTTTTTTTTAGGGACTGTTTACTTACTGCAGGGCCAATTTTTTTGTTAAGTATTCAATGGTACCTAATTAAGATTTGTAGACAGAGCCAAATCTGGAGATTATTAAGCAAATTGAAATTGTCACGCATGACTCTAAGTGTGTGAAATTTTTTGTTTTAAACGTAAATTTTTTATATCGTTGTTTTACATTTCTTTATTTGATCTAAATTAGTCGCTGAAATTACACTTTCTGTACTAACTGTGAATCAAATATATATAAACGTTCTCATAAAAATTCGATCAGGATTTTGCCAATTAAACATTCCATAAAGGCAACATTTAGGAAATTTTACATCTTGTATTCTTAATTTATAATTGTTTTCTTAACTTAATCAAATGAATGTATACGTCAGTTTTGAGAGTTCTCTTAGAACTGAAACAGCTTGTACAAAGGTATGTTTTTACTTTAAATCACCTTTGTCCATCTTCCTCAATTGAGATAAAACAATTTTCCAAATTGCCATGAAAAAAGAACGGAAGCTTTAATTTTGGAAAAATGTCACGTCACATAAAAAAATGTCGTGGTTAAAATGAATAGATAAAATGCGAGACTTATTTTATGGTTTAGCATATGCTAAGACTTTTAATTAAGGTTTAATTAAGGTTAATTAAGGTTGTCGTCTTGAGAGTAATGATGGGCAATAGCTAGATTTGTTTTACAGAAACTTTAAATATTTTTAGACTTTTAAAAGGTTTTACGTCAATCTGAGAGGAGTCCAACGATTTAAAATTGTATTTTGTAGAAGTTTGCTTTTATCAAATATGCAAATTTGATCGTAGGTGAAAATATAAGGCAAATAACTAACTAAAAACTATCTTTTTTTCCTTATATTTTCTTCTGGGATAACAAATTTGCATGTTTGATAAAGCAAACTTCAACAAAATAAGATTTTCAAATGTCTGAACCTTCTCATATTGTCGTAAAACCTATTAAAAGTCGAAAAACATCAAAAGTTTCTGTAAAACGAATCTGGCTATTGCCCAACCCTAATTGAAGGATGACCTCACTCTCCACTAAATATACCATTTCTCCGGTCCGTGTGCTAAAGTTGTCTTTTAGGAAAAATTATTTTGGAAGAAATTAATGGGAGTCTAGGGTAGAAATCATCTTTGAAGATAAAAAGCGAATGATATTTTATGGCTTGCTGCTATTAGTCAACCTTATTACGGCTGGGGGGGGGGGTCCCGGGGACCCCTCTTGACGTTTTTTGGAAGTATTGGTCTGAGGCTGTTAATTTTTTTACTTTTTATCTAACACATGCCCTTCACTTCAGGCTTTAAGCGGAGCTTTAATACTTACTGCCAGAGTCACCAGGCATACTGCCTGAATGCCTTATTTTACCTTTACCCGACTAAATCTATATTTAGACCTACCTGATGTCATTGGATTTCGACTTTTATAGTTCTTTGGAAAGCCTTCAACAAAAGAAAGCAGATCGCACAATTTCTGCGAAAAAAATGCTCAGATGCCATAAAAAGAAAATTTGCACATTTTAAGTTTTCCTTAAATACAAGTTTAGTTTCTGAAAATTTTTCAATTTTACAATTTTTTGCAGATTATCAAAGTAGAGCCCAAGAGCTTTCCAAAAGTGTATCAAATGTTATGGATTTGTATCACAATAAGGAAATAAAAGGGGGGGGGTTTGTGGGACCCCACCCAAACCATTTTGGGTAAACTAGACGTCAGCCTGAATAGGGTTAATTTTCTTTAGATTAATATGGGTTTGGATTTTTAAAAGCACCATCAAAATCTCTGCAGCTTCCAACACTCCAAATTGTATTCTGTTTAAGTTAACTTTCATTAAAAGGAAACCAAGATAAGTTTTTATTCGTTTTTCAATTGTTTGCATATATCTTCTCTTAGGGTTAAAATTTGGCAATTTAGGAAAGTAAACGCTTAAAATAAACAATGTTCAAAATTTGTGAAATTTTTTTTAATTTAAAAAAATTAAAGTTTTAAAAAATAACCAAATAATTGGCCTTTTACAATAAAAGCATCTTAATATCGAAATTTTTCATCTTCTAGAAACCTTCCACAATATGAATTTTACTTCAATTAATAATTTTTTCATTTCAGAGTACTAATGTTTACACTATAGAGGTCAACAGTACAGATATAGAGGTTAAAAATAAGAATTGTGAATATTATATTATAATTAACAAATTTGCATATTCTAAGTTTAATATTTAAATGTGTTTAGGCTGGGTTGAACTTGTTGTTAAACAAGGTAGATTTAATTTTAAATTTTAGATTGTCAAAAAAGGCTGCTATTTAAATTATGCGGTCATTTAGACAAAAATAGAGCTTAAAACTTGGGATATGTTGGGAGTCTAGTAAAATAGAGCTTAAAACTTGGGATATGTTGGGAGTCTAGTAAAATAGAGCTTAAAACTTGAGATATGTTGGGAGTCTAGTAAAATAGAGCTTAAAACTTGGGATATGTTGGGAGTCTAGTAAAATAGAGCTTTAAACTTGAGATATGTTGGGAGTCTAGTAAAATAACTAGTAAATCACTTAGACAACACTCATTGTAAGTCGGATCTAACTTTGAAATTAAAGACTCAGGGATTTAGACTGGAGACTGCTTTAAAACCATGGCCTCTGTTAGAAATCAGAATTATTAGCATAAGAGTCTTCGCATAAGTGTAAAAGATTTTGTTCATGGATGAAAAATGTAAAAATTTTTAGATGTTTTCATAGACCTCTAAAATGTACAAAAATTATTTGTAGATTATCACACAGGAACCAGATTTATACAATGAATAGTGAGATAAAATTACACCACGTAGAGTGCACCAAGACGAAATAATGTATAGTCTGTGCACTTTATATATTTCTTGCTATTCATTAAATAGTGTCACAGTTTAAATTTGAATTTTATATCTACATACTTATATGATACCATGTCATTTTATGCTTTTTATAAAGGTTAAGGAGGTTTATGGAGGTGAAGGAAAAATCAAAATCAAGAAAAAAAACAAGGTGAGAGAAAGAAAAAATAATTCAACACCTCTAACCCTAAATTGGTTTAATTTTGGTCGTATACGCGGTATAATTAACCCCTCTTATTCATTTACCTGAAAAAAACTTTAAATTCAGACACCCCCCCCCCGCAACCGGCCACTTTAGGGTTAAGAACATTCCATTACATGTTTTTGTTTACAATAGACGAATAAAATAAAAGTAAAGTAAAATGAAAATAACACAATGAAATATATATAAGTAGTTAGATAATTCAATAAAAATTATGATATTTATTGCTTAGGACAAAATGTTTTCATTCAAGTATAAAGGCCCAGAAAGAGCTGCAAACCTGCTAGAAACAGCTCTTCAGAAAGTCAAGTAATGATAACTTAAAGCATCTAAATAGTAATAGTTTTTTTTCCGTTTTCTTGAAGCTGCTTTACACTTTTAGAAATATTTGTCATCTAACAACATATTTTGGAGCACCGGAGCCAAATTTACCTTACTCGTGGTTTATTGGACGATTTAACGAGTCCGGGGAAGAAATCATCATCATTGGAGTACCATTGGGGCCCCTCTTTAATCGAAGTCCCCCAGATTTTCATTGGAGACCCCAAACTTTTCATCGGAGACCCCAGATTTTCGTTGGAGACCCCAGATTTTCGTTGGACCCAAAGCTTATCATCAGAAACCCTAAGCTTTTCATTAGAGACTCCAAGCTATTCATGAGTTCCTGGATTTTTAGTGGAGACCACAAGTTTATTATCAAAGACCCCCAGATTTTCATTGCTGACCACAAAAGCTTTTCATCGGAGACCCTTAGAATTTCATTGGATACTCTGAGCTTTTCATTGGAAATACCAAGCTCATCAGTGGAGGATATTTGCATTGGATACCCCATGCGCTCCGATATTAATTTGGGGGTTTCCAACTAAATGCTAAGGTTCTCCAAGGGAAATCTGGGGAACTTCAATGAAACACGTGGGGTCTCCAATGAAACGGTGGGGTCTTCAATAAAAAGATTGGGGTCTCTGATAGTAAGCTTGGGGTCTTCAATAAAAATCTGAGGTCTCCAATACAAATCTAGGGTCTCTAGTTAAAAGCTTGGGGTCTCCAACGAAAATCTGATGTCTCCAATGAAAAGCTTGGAGTCTCCAACGAAAATCTGATGTCTCCAATGAAAAGCTTGGAGTCTCCAACGAAAATCTGATGTCTCCAATGAAAAGCTTGGGGTCTTCAATGAAAATCAGGGGTCACCGATGAAAAGCTTGGGGTCCATTAAAATCTATGGATCTCCAAAAATTACTTAAATATTACTGTTCTCCCTCCTTTACTGTGAGAATTATGTGACACTGTAGAATAAATAATTTTCCTAAAGATTACTGAGATCAAATGGAGAAAATTAGCGCACTTTAATCTTAATTTTCTTTACACAAAAAACATTCTAAATGGGCTTCTTGAATCTTGAATGTTGGTTTGATAGATCTTCTTCTGAAAGAATTTGCATTAATTATGTTTTACAAGTCAGACCCAAATAGTTTTTGAATTCTTTGAATGTTTTATTACGGCGACTTTTTCTCTGTGTTGAACTTGAGAGTGAGTATCTTAGTTTAAACTGGTTGTTCTGCAAACCCGCGGGTCCAAAGCAGTTTAAAAAAAGTTTTTTTTGGTGAGTTTTCAAAAATCGAATTAACCAAAATTTGAACCAATTAAGTTGATCTATTTCGACGTTTATAAATATATCTGTTTCTAGGGAGTTGAATTCCGCTACTTTTTAAAGCTTTAGAAGTATGACGATGCACAAATTCTATTCAATTATTTTTGTTACAGGGAACTTCAAGATAAGGGTCCACTGTGGAGATTCACCCAAACACTGGAAGTCACAACACTAAAATAAAAGTGTAAACTTATCTTTAATATTCATGCAAATATCTGCAGATAAATTGCTTTTAATTTCCCAGTTCCTTTCTTTTGATTATGATATTACAAGAGAATTCAAAATTTACTGTATGAAAAAAAGAATCGGGTTTTATCAAAGCTCTGAGAACGTTAATTATAGAAAAAAATTATTATGAATAGAGTAAAATGTCATTCATTGATTAAATTGTGCTCTGGTTTCTAGAAATAAGCTTGATTCTTTTAACCATCTAAATTTAGTACAAACCTGAACTTATTCTAAATCAAAAATATTGTTTATTTAAAAATGTAATTGTATGAAATATACGAAATATTGTACTGTAAGCTGAGAATTTTAAAAATAGATTTTTTTCGCTTTCTTAACTTTTGTTTTAATCAGTGAATTCTTTAGCATCTCTATTCATTAATTAAGGGACTTCTGATGATAATAAAAAAGGAAAAATTTATATGAAATGTTTTTTCCTAAGATTTGGGAAATCCAACAGATCCCATGGAAAGGAAAAGTATAAAATTTAAACTTCGAATTTTTTATTTAGTATATAATTTATTTTTGCGATAAAAGAATTTCGTATCGAATTTTAAAGAGTCTGGTCAAAATGAAACCAATTAATTTTTTACATAAATTGTCAGACATGTCATTTCAGAGGACATCATTTCATGTGATTTTGAAAAATGAAATAGTGAGTAAAAATACTTAAACTTACTAAAGATTGAATACAAGTATTAATTATAATTTTTGCAGAAGTGTACACGTACAAATTTAATTCTGTAAGGACAGCTTAAGCAAGTAGGATTCAAAAATTCTTACTTATTTGTATTTTATAACAATAAAAATTTTTATGTTATTTCTTCAATGTTTTCATCCGAATTTTAAATGTTCTCATGACATCATTTAGCTATTAATCTTTTTTCTTTTTCTACTCATTTAAGCATTTAAAAAACCTATTTTCACACAATCAGATTATCCAGTGTCACATGTAGGGTTGTTAATCGTTTTTGAAAACGATCATTAAACGATCGTTTTTTTTTCGTTTTCCTATCGTTTTTTGTTTCGTTTTCCGATCATTTTAAAAACAATCGTTTTAAAAACTTTTTAAAAAAACGATCGGAAAACGAAACAAAAAACGAAAAAAAATGAAAACGTTAGCATCCCTAGTCACATGTAAAAATTAAACCTTTTCAAACCTTTTCCAAATATCCTAGCCGAAATCTGTTGTTCATATGCAAACAAATTCCTTTTTCAAGGTTTGTAGTTTCAAACTTTGGAAAACCATTACGAAATAAATTTAAACTCACTTTTTTTAATATCATTCATTACAGAAAATTCTTTCATTTGTTTGTTTTCTTTACTATTTATTGAATGTTTAACTCGTGTTCACTGAGTGTTCAGTGTTCATTGTGCTACATGTATAGTGTGTTACTACAGTGAAAAACTTGGAAAAGAAACAATTACATTTGTGCGCATTTATCCATATTCAAACTTTGCTAGTCTGTCCAATAAACGTCAAAATGTCTGAACCGATCGAGCCCAAATTTTGTGTGGGACCTCGTGTGACCCCAGGAAGGTTTATGGATGATCAAATTTTCACAAATTGGCCTCTCACAAAATTCAATTTTTGAAAATTTTTAAAATCCAAGAATTATTTTTCATAAAATTTGCAAAATTTGGTTTAGTTTTTTATTTACACTGTACACAAATTACAATTAAAACAAAAGATGGGCACGAAGCGCCCTAAAAACCTAGTATTGTATATATGTTTATATCTCTATTTTCTACATACATTGGCTGATTGGGCAATTTAATGCTGCACATTTTATTAAGTATTCAGAGAGGGGTTGTTAACCGCAACTATTGAGATTAGGAAAACAACTTACTGCTCAAAGATGTTTCTGAGACCCAGAATGATAAAAACTTTTAGTGAAATATTTATCACGTTTTCCTGTTGATCTTATTCTACCTAGGATCAAACAGGTACAAACGCAACCGAATGAGAATGCAAAATGAGCCTGTTTAAGCCGCAGCGCTCAGTCCAAAAAAATTTTTACCTAGCCTTACCTGGAATATGTACTATTTGTATGTCATAACAAATTTGATGACCACAATGCTCGGATCCTAGCCTGTATCTAGATTTGTGACTACAGCGATCGGCTATGGCGGCTCTTTAAAAATTATTCAGTAATGCTCTTTTCTTCTGAATATAGATATATACGAAACTAGAATAAATTCTTAGTATTTTTTATTTGTCAACCATTCTATTGCGTGCCGACATTAAAAAATGTGAACATTTATTAATTTGAGTGTTTAAATTTTCGCTAAATCCTCAGTTACATTTGCTATAATACTTTTGCCATAAATACATTTGCCAAAGTTACACTTGCCATAATTGCACTTTCCAAAAATACTTTTGCCATAAGTAACACTTGGCATAAGTTACACTGCCATAATGGTTACACTTGCCATAATACCACTTTCCATAATTACGTTAGCCATAATTTTCTAATTCTTACAAAGATTTAAACTATTTTTTATAATGCGCCAAATTTACTAATGAAAATTCCCGATTTTAGTTTTCTGACATCGCTGCCGGGAGAGCTGTAAAAATGAACACTCATAAGACTGGTAGAATTTAGTGCCATAATTTGCACATGTTTAAACTTCCGATAAGCAGAAATATATCAAAACATTTTGTATTCTTCAGTATGTTTCCGATGAACTTTTTTGTATTCCAAAGTCCAAAATCCAACGAATCGATCTTTCTGATTTCTTAGAAATCTTTGAATATTTTATAATTATAAATCATGTGAAAATTACCACCGTCATTCCGAATTTCTGTATGGGGTGTAAGGACATTATTTTGATTTTTGTAAAATTTTAAAAATTCGAGAAAAAAATTATAAATCAGCAAAATTTTTATTAATGTTTTATCGAAGAAAAAATGCTAAAAGATTGAGTAAAAATTAAAAGTTGAAATAGAAGATGGGCCTAAAACAATACAATACAATACAATATTTTTAAGTTTAGAAATTAGAAATTAGAAATGTTGGGAAACTCTGAAATGATGCTAATGCAGTGATCATAATTGTATTTTGCTTGTATTTTGAGGGCTGCTCTTTTTAGCTGACAAACATACATACATGCTTTTTCCTTTCCTACTGGTTCCTTCAGTTCTACTTACTTACTTAAACAGAAACTTGTCAATAAAATAAGATGTATACTTTATTAATACTTTAAGGGATGTTTTAAAACAGAAAGAATATTCTTGTAAGATTTAAGCTCCTTCATTCAGTGTGTAATAATACCATTGTTGTACATAACAGGGTTAAACTTTACACAACTAAGTTTGTACAATACTTTGACTAGATGTCTTGGAATGACCGAAAAGGGCCATCCACCAAATTTAAAGGGACCCTCAGCATAAAGCGTTTTATGCCCGATTCATATAATAAAGAAAGAAAACAATTTAAGATTTTCATATATAAAGCCAAGGATAACTCAATCATTTTTGTCCAGACAATTGTTTAAATCATATGATAAATCATTAGTGAATCTGACAGGATATTTTATAAATAAGAGTCACTCTAAATTAAGTCTACAGTCCGTTCAAGGCTCATTCAAATAATTATTTGTAAAAACTATAGTGCAATAAATTAGCCATAAGTTCTCATAAATTGAGAATAAGTAGGTTTAGCTTTAGTGTTGGCAGATATTAAAGCATCGAGATTCCTTTCCACAAAATTTACATTGAACTGATTCGGGGTGAGCGTTGCACCGAGGTTCCCATCGAGAGATGGAACATCTCCGATTGCTTCAATGTCGAAAACATGAAGTATGGATGTAAAAAAAAGCTGAAGTTCAGTTTCTGCCAATTTATCACCTAGGCACATCCTTTGTCCTGTGCCGAATGGGATAAACTGCTTTGGCTTTACAAGGTTCCCCTCTGAGTCAAGAAACCTTTCCGGGTTGTACTCCTCTGGGTTCTCCCAGGCCTCAGGGTCCATGTGGATAGCGTAAAGGTTGGGAACTACGTGGCTGTTCTCAGGGATGGTGTGTCCTTCTAACGAGACAGGCCTGTAACGGAGATAAGGGTAAGAACGAGCAACTATATAACTCAAGGTTGAGAGGAATGAACTGTGGCAGGGGTCAAGGATACTACACAGCGTGGATCAACCCATTATTGGCACAAGGGGGAGGGAGGTAAGAACTTTTGCAGGTTGGAACCAAATGGGAGGGGGGGGGAGTTAGGTTGAAATAGCAAGAACATTAATTTTAATGAAATAATTAGATTTAAATCTTTACCTGGTATTTGAATGAGTGGTTCCCAAAGGAACTGCAAGCGATCTTCTCATGGATTCGTAAATGCAAGCTCTAGAGTAGTTTAATCGAGACATATCATCAAGACATGGCAGTCTGTTCCCGCCAACAACCCTCTCCAATTCTTCCTGAACTTTTCTTTTGATCTCCGGGTTCCGGAGCATGTGGATAATCGTCCAAAGCAAAGTAGTCTTGACAGTTTCAAACCCGGCAGAGAAAAGATCAACAAGAACCTGTTGGAGTTGAACTTCAGGTTCCTTAGACTGGAAAACCTCTTCTGTAGTCCCGTTTTCTCTTGTTTTCTCAATCTCCAGTAGATAAGAATCCACTAGGTCTCTGGGAGACTTAGAGTCAAGACTTCTCTTATGCTCTTCAATTATTTCAGCGACAAAGTTTAAAAGTTCTTCTCTATTTTTTTTCAGCTTGTTACACACCTCCGACATAGCTGGGAACATTTTTATGAACGGAAGAAACATCATAACTCCCGTCAGTTTAAACAATCGGAAGCCCTCGTCAAAGAATTGTATAAACTGTTTAAATCTCTCTTCTCCATGCTTAAACCTAGTACTCATGATAATGGAACAGATAACATTGCTAATGGAGCAGGATAAATATGCAGAGGGATCAATTCCTAGATTTTTGGTTCCCACATCCTCAGTGTATTTTGATCCATTGTGGATTGCTGTAAGACAACAAAGGACCTCATGTGAAACTCTCTGTTCCATTTGATCTCCAATGTTACCCCAGAATTTTAAACCAAACTTGTGCTTGTGAATAAAACTTCGCTGAGACTTCCAAAGCGCTCCGTCTGAGGTAATTAAACCTAGAATAAAATTCAAGTTAGTAAATGTCAATACAAAACCATCAAAATATTCGATTTGGCAAAAAGAATTGAAATTTAATTTACCATATCCTTGGCAGATGGAGTCTAGAACAGATTTTGGTCTAGCCGTAAATTCGTGTTGAGAAAAAGCTTTCTTGAGTAAATTAACATCGTTGATTACAACAACCAACTGTGATCCCATCCTGACACTCATCAGTTTTCCATACTGTTGGGCAAAATCGTACATCTGCAGGTGGAACGGTTTCTTAAAACTAAGCAAAGAACCAAAAATTGGTATCCCAGTAGGTCCAGGGGGTAGAGATCGAAGGTAGAGGAAATATTTTGTTATGTAGATGACAAATAGAAATGTGAAAAATAAAACTGCTGTGGTGAATGTAAACTGTTCAAGAACGAACATGATAAGTTGCTCCGTGACACCCATTCTGTAAACTCGTAACTTTCTCCTTTTCTTAAACTTTATAACAGTTGGAACTGTGTTCTTAGCCCTCCGACTTGTAAACACGTAATGATCAAAACTCACTGTTTGTCTATCCCTTATAGAGAATTTGAAGCCCGCCGGTTGAGAGTCGATTTGCGGGTGAAACGTGCGCAAAATGCCGCACCGCGCCGGTTCAATGGTTCGCCCAAAAGAAGGGGGGGGGGTCGTTTGGTTTAGGGGAAGTCCCGATGCAAATGACGGAGAGTGGGGAAAGACGGGACGGTACAGTGAAATTGAGAAACTTACTGTCACACGGACAGTTTAGCTGTGGACGAGAGGGAGAGAGGACGTTTGCATGCACTGGAGGACAAATCTGATTCAACATCTTCGTTGAATTTTTCTCATTTATATAATCAGATGCTGATAATCTTGTTTAATCCTGTTTTTATTTTTCAAAGTTTTTAGGTTCTTGAAATTGTTTACTCAGAAAATAATATAAGAAAAAATGTAATCTTTTAAGTTTTAAAGTGGTTCGTTTTTATAGATGATTTTTTCATAAATATATTTTAATATGTTGCTTTTTGAATATATGGAGAAAAATAAATAAATTCATTTTCTGTAGTTGTAAGTTTAATTATTAACTTAGCTTGTACACTGTATATGAAAAGTATGGTGAAGGTTAAACATCAAATTATCTATAGAACAATCTGAAACAGAGAGAATAATCTGGATAATAAAGATGAATTTATAAAGAGAATGCGTAAAACTGGTGTTTTTTCAAATTTAATTGTACGAGATATTTTCTAGATCCTTGTTTTTGAAATCTTTGAAAGAGATATAATAGTTTGTGACGAACTTGTTATTTTATAATGTACAACGAGAATGTTTAGATATAAAATGAACCGGCCTCTGAATTATTCAGATCTCAAATTTATTTCTAAAACATCATAAAGGAATTGACTCTTTGCCACAAACTCTGATTTTCTAATCCCAATATCTTCGGATTCCAAAGTCGTATAAACCTTTGAAATTTCAAACTATGACTTTTGTTAGATCAAAAAATATAAGTTTGAAATATCAAAGGTTCACGACATTGGGTTCCAAAGATATTGGGATTAGAAAATCAGAGTTTGTAGCAAAGAGTCAATTCCTTTGAAATAAACTTTAAAATAAATGTGTAGCAAATTATAGCATATGTAGCGTTTTTGTAAGGTAGCGTTTTTATAGGGTAGCGTTTTTTTAATGATAGCGTTTTCATAGTATGACCTAATTTTCTACAGTTTCTATAGTTTCTAAAGTAATTTACAGTGTTTCAGTGACTTATTCTATTAAGAAAACTATACTCTTTATTCTGCAGGCCTTTTTAGTGGGGTTTTACACTAATTTGTGGGCATATTTAATATTTACCCCCAACATTCTTACAACTGCCCATACTGTCCTACTGTAGGGTTAAAAACGATCATTAAACGATCGTTTTTTTCGTTTTCCTATCGTTTTTTGTTTCGTTTTCCGATCATTTTAAAAACAATCGTTTTAAAACTTTTTAAAAAACGATAGTTTTTAAAATGATCGGAAAACGAAACAAAAAACGAAAGGAAAACGAAAAAAACTATAGTTTTTCAAAAAAATGAAAACGTTAACATCCCTAGTTACAAGTGCCTATGTTTAATTCCTGGCCGACCATTTATCTTGTATCTGCCCCCCCCCCCCCTCCCAATATTTGACATGCTCATTTTTTGGTTTCAAGACACTTTTAAAACAGATTTTTATTAAATGTTTTTAAAGATATAGAAGGCATATATGGTTTACTGGTCGAAATACTTAAATAGCAAAAATAGGTTTAACTAGGCACGTCTGATTAAACTACTCGACTGCACTGATTAAAGTGGATCTCAGCGGCTTAGCGATATATTTAAAATTTAGCCGAACATAGCTGAACTCCTTTGCGCTATTTAATTTATCAATTCCGACCAGAGCTCGGTTTAAAAAGAATTTCTGGATTAAACGGAGTATAATTTAACTTTTTAAAGAATATCATCGAGTGCGTAAATAAATCTCTTAGGAGAAACATATTGAATACTATTATATTAGTATATTAAGAATTGGAACCAAAAGTTCATATTGGCTCGGGTTGTTAATGGTAAAAGATCATCTCTACTGATCTTGTTTAGTTGAAATTTAGTTGTATATATTAAAATTACAGTGCTGCAATAGCACATTTTTTACCTCATCAATTAGATTAAAGGGACAGTAAAGGAAAAATGAAAGGGGGTATAGGCTGAAAGCTAATCACTTTAGCTCTTGATCGCGGCCCATGAAAGTTTTATCTGATGTTCCTGTCTCGAGAAACTGATATACAACTGTGTTAAAATTATACGAAAATTAATATATATAGAATTTTGTATAAAAGTAGTAGGTTTAAACAGATCATATTCAGCAAATAAGCAACCAATCTGAAAACGATGATATCCCAGAGAAAGCTAATTGTAAATTAGGTTTACTTATATATTTGTTATTTCTATTTTCAATAGATTTCATTCATAATATTATTTTTACGTCTGTATTACTTGACCAGAAATTCCACCAATGGCAGTGCAGTAAAGTGGTCACGTGATACAGGCGGAGACACGTGACCAGTATACTTCTCTGCCATTGGTGATAGTTCTGGTCACGTGATTTAAGTTTCAGATTTTCAAAATTTTACATATATGAATTTTCGTGTAATTTTAACACAGTTTTATATCAGTTTCTCGAGACAGAAACATCAGATATAACTTTCATGGGTCGCGATCAAGAGCTAAAGTGATTAGCTTTCAGCCTATACCCCCTTTCATTTTCCCTTTACTGTCCCTTTAAAATGTAAATTGAAATAACAGTATTTCAGCTAAACATGTATATTTATATATATCTGCCTGTTTTCTTTTGTATCCAATAAACGTCAAAACTCCCGGAACACTTTTTTAAGAAATTGAAATAGGAAAATCTGTTAAATTTTTAATCTTTATGAATTAAAGGAGCAGGATTTTAAACCAAAAATTATATTTAGAACCCAACCATGTCTAGTGTCTTCTATGTTTATTTGGCTTGTCTGTGTGTTTGTGTCCTATTGCCGTCAAAAATTTAAAGGTTATTGGTCGCTCAAAATTTTGAATATTTTGTACGTCTACGAATAAGAAAGAAATAGGTGTGTGAAGTTTCTAGAGTAGGAAAGTTAAAACGAAACTCTCGAGTTTCCTTTTTGGGGTATATTATATCTCATTATTTTATAAATATTCATTTGTGTATATTTAATTTAAGAAATTAGAAAACAAAAATAAAATGTAAAGAAACCACATGAAAAAATATTTCTTAACAAAAATATTGGTACATATTTACAAAACTGAAACCGGGTTTTCGATAATGAATGTCTTACGTTTCGGACCCTGGAGGCGTAATTAAAAGAAGAGTAAATAAACTTTACATTAAGGGTCAACTTGGCCAACTTCAATTTTTCTCTTTAGATTCTAAAAATGCGAAGAGCGTGTCTGGAGATTATTGTAGCTTCGCCAGATGTCATTAAAAGCTTAAGAGTAAAATTGTGACTTGTGAGTCAAACTGGTTACACCCAGAGGCCCTCCCCACTGATATGTATTAGCTTACACCGTACACAATTAGGGTTGTTAATCGTTTTTGAAAACGATCATTAAACGATCGTTATTTTCGTTTTCCTGATCGTTTTTTGTTTCGTTTTCCGATCATTTTAAAAACAATCGTTTTAAAAACTTTTTAAAAAAACGATAGTTTTTAAAACGATCGGAAAACGAAACAAAACGGTCGTATTTCTAAAAAATGAAAACGTTAACATCCCTATACACAATGCACTCACAAAAAAGATATTTTTTCTTAAAAAAACTTTTAAGACAGAAAGTTCCAAAAAAGCTACATGAACAAAATCTGACACATTAGCTAGGTCTTATTATTTGTTATATGAATTAATGACAAATAAATAAATTAATGATTAAAGGTTAAAGCTGGTAGTGAAATCCCGATTGAAGATTTTAAGATAAAATCAGTTGTTATAAAAGAAGAATTTTTGTAAGTAAAAATTGACTTGTAGTTTTTTTTTTATTTAATAACTATTTCGATTACGGGTTTTCTTTTGTATTATTGTCAAGTATAAAAATGGGAAATGACTTTGTTAATTGAGAACCTAGATTATTTAAGTACGTCTTGCTCTCATGTACCTTTTTTATCTGTATTGATCCCCACATTGCCTGTCATCTGAGGTCAGACTTCAAGCACACGTTTTAAAAACAATAGGGAAACTTTCTGTAACAAAAGTAACGGCTCACATGTTTGTTCACAGCCGTCCACGGTATTTTTGTGTGTTCAATCTGACTATACTGTAAGCTTACATTTTCTTGAACTACAGTGAACTTTGATTTTATCTAAGTTTATTCCATTTTCAGAAACCTGAAGACATATTGTGAAAAGGTTTTTGAGAAATGCCTGTTTGCTACAATGTGAAGTTTCTACTCATGAGAAATGCCTGCATTTGGAGCACAGTGACGAAAATGTGTATACCTTAAATGAAAATCATTTTTTTTACGTTTAACTGGTGTTTTTATCCTTATCTTGACCTTATCCAGATTTTGTGTTTCCGCTTTCTAAGAACGTGCTTCTAATTGATTTTTATTGGCACTTTTATAAAGTAGAATTACTCTTAAACCTAATGTGCTCGCTGTTCTAATATTAAACACTATCTGAAGTGCCTGAGGTTGCCCTTGAAATGAAAATGACAAAAAATTAAGAAAAGATAATTCGAATTTTTAAGAAAGAAAAATAGTTTCATTTTTTTGCCTTGTCACTCCCATGCACGGCCCGCCTATAGATGAAATTCTATCTATCGATCTACAGTATTCTGGGCCAGTGTACATGTAATTTTGTGGGTGTGCTTCACAGCTGTATTTTGGGAAATTTTTCGAATCTCTGCATAGCACTACTAGGTTTCACTTTAACAAATTTTTATTCTGGCTATCGTTCATTCAATAAAAATAAGTTGTACTTTTAAAAATGTTTAAGGTGTAGTTAAGGGTTCAAATCAGAGAAGAACTTTGGTAGATCTTGGGCCCTGGAGTAAGCAGAAATGAGATACTGCAACTAAAATCTTGTAAACATAACTTTGCCTCCGATGAGTTGGGTAGCATCAAAGGTTCTTGTTTTAAAATTTCTGAAATGTGGTCTGCTGTTTTTGTACTTTAAGAATTGACTGAGATATTGTGAAATTTGTCTAAAATTTAAAGTATATAACATATTAACAAGGTTAACAATTATAAGGAAAAAAGAAAAGAGGCCAAATTTTACAAAATATTTAAGACTTACAATGTTTTTCTTTACTCTTTTGACAACTTTTATCTTTACGAAAACCAAGGACAAATTGAAAGTCCCGGGTCCAATGTCTAACGTACTGCATGACACCCCAGCCATAAAATGACATCAAACCTTGTCTATGATATATCCATTCTATTATATATCCATGCTCCCTTGGGTTCCATACAAAAAAATCAGCCAATTCGGTCCAGCCGTTTAGGCAGCCGTAGATAATATATATAAACATAAATATCAAAGAATTTTGACTACTGAGGATCGTCATGCAGTGTAAAACATAATGTTCAGTATGATTGTTTTTTGATAAAATGTGAAGTTTAAAAATAAATATATAAATATGAATATGCGCGAAGAGCTTTATTATATAGATTTATAATTATAGTTACTCCCGCCGTTTACCCGCGCTTAGTCTTAAATCATGATTTTAGCTCAAGTGCCCAGCGTTGCTAATCGAATTTTAGAAATTTCGAATTAAAAAAATCGATTTTTTTTAGACTATGTTACCCCCAAGGTATCCATGTGTTCCCTCATTTAGTCATTTAGTCCAGCAGTTTGGCCAGCTATAGCTAACATATGTATATATATATATATATATACAAATATATCAATAGACACAGTGTTTCGTCCTATTAGGACTCTTCAGTTTGGCTCAATTCATCAGTTGGCGTAATGAAAAATGTATATATGATATATGATATTATATAAAATTAACATAAGAGTTGATTGAAAAAAAGGCAAACAGACAGACAGAAATCTTAACGCTGTGTTCGACCTCCCGAAAATGAGCAAAGACAGTTTGACCTATATCTACATAAATACGACATCTAATTTTAAAACCGAACAAGAAATTTTGCTTGGCTTTTAACTTTTTAGAACTTTTTTCATTAATATTATATCATTTTATAAGAACTGTTTTAATTCTAATGAGCTTCATCATTAACATTATCTCATTATGTTTTGCTGTCGTACAAAATGAAATGAAATGAAAGGTTCAGGAACGTCACATGAGTGGGCATGTGGAAGGCACCCTTTACGAGAAGTTGGTCTTAGTAAGTATTCTGAGGAGAAACCTGGCACAGTACCTGAAAAGGTCTCATTTCAGGAAACTTCAGCAAAAACTGATCCGTAGACAATGAAGAATTATATAACTACCAAAGTATGATACACGTTTCAGTTACTTCTCCAATTGATATTATGTGTAGAAACCTAAACCAAAAGAGAGGAAACTCTAGATTTAATTCATGCATTTAAAATATATGACTTTTGTTTGCAGGAATTCTTTAATTTAACCATTTTATAATCACAAATCAGTGCCAGCAAAATTTTAGTTGTGATGATAAAACATATAAATCACCCTCAGAATATATATACTATAGAATAACAAGAGGCACCTGTACTGGTATGACGAGCGGGGGAAGGCAGGCGGCCATGAGCCACCACTATTTCCCCTTCCGTGCCACATATTATCTTTTTTCTCTTCCCGCAGCCATGAGCCACCACTATTTCCCCTTCCGTACCACCACATTTGACTCTTCCGGGAAAAAACTACTTTTTTAAATGGTATATTTAGGGCCTTTAAAGTGTGATTTTAAAAATCCAGCCGCGTCACACAAAAAAGCACAACTCAAACCATTTTTTCAATTCTACTTAAGATTAATATTTTGTGTGTTGAATTCTTTAACTGTTTTACAATGAAATTTTTGACAAATTTGACTGAGTATTGCATCTTAAAATATCACAAAGTTGGTTAATGAGTGATTTTAAGATGGATTTAGTATAATGAGTCAATAATTGAATAATCATTAGACTTTGTGATATTTCAAGATGCAATACTCAGTCAAATTTGTCAAAAATAGGGAAGAATGCATTTGAGATTTTAGACATTTTTTAGCAAAGGATAAACAAAGTTTAAGTTTAAGTTTAAGTGCCAAGGATGATATAACTGCATCCTCACAAACAAACACATACTTAGCTGACATAAGAGCTGAAGGCAGTTGAACTGGAGGAACAGGACGAACATGATGAGGTGGAGGAACGGCGAATCCATCAATAGCTCTGTCAACTTTCCTGAGGAAGGCATCAGGAAGTAATCCGGAACATCTACAAGTTCACCAGGTAGGGTCAAAGGAGAACCGTAAACAGCCTCGGAAACTGAGAGGCCAGTGTCATCTTTGGGAGTGGCTCTCAAACCCAAGAGACCTAGAGGAAGATGAGGAACCCAATCGGAACCTGCTAACCTGGCTCGTAGAGAAGATTTCAGACTCCTGTGGAACCTTACAACCATTCTGTTACTCTGAGGATGTAAGGAGGTTGTAGTGGAGGCTCAGATTCCCAAAATAGAACAAACTCCAGTCCAAATAGAAGACGTGAACTGAGAACCTCTGTCCAAAGTGAGAACTTCAGGAACTCCGAATCTTGATATCCAGGTTGAGACGAAAGGACAAACACAAGACTCAGCAGAGATGGAGGACAAAGGAACGGCCTCTGGCCATCTCATAGTTCTGTCAATCATGGTGAGAAGATACAAGTAGCCTTGACTTGATGGCAGAGGACCAACAAGATCCACATGAACGTGAGAAAATCTCCGGGTTGGAATTGGAATAGATGGAACTGTGGAATGAACATGAGATGAAATCTTGGATTTTTGGCACGGAATACATGATTTTGCCCATGAACCGACATCTCTGGACATTCCTGGCCAAACAAATCTTGATGAGATCAATCTCCTGGAGGCTCTGACACCAGGATGAAAAATACTGTGTAGTTGCTCGAACAGCTTGAGACAAAGTTGGACTGGAGTTTGTTCTATTTTGGGAATCTCAGCCTCCACTATGACCTCCTTACATCCTCAGAGTAATGGAATGGTCGAAAGGTTCCACAGGAGTCTGAAATCTTCTCTACGAGCCAGGTTAGCCGGTTCCGATTGGGTTTCTCATCTTCCTCTAGTTCTCTTGGGTTTGAGAGCCACTCCCAAAGATGACACTGGCCTCTCAGTTTCCTAGACTGTTTATGGTTCTCCTTTGACCCTACCTGGTGAACTTGTAGATATTCCAGAGCTACTTCCTGATGCCTTCCTCAGGAAAGTTGACAGAGCCATTGATGGATTCGCCGTTCCTCCGCCTCATCATGTTCGTCCTGTACCTCTGGTTCAACTGCCTTCAGCTCTTATGTCAGCTAAGTACGTGTTTGTTCATGAGGATGCAGTTATATCATCCTTGGCACCATGTTATCGAGGCCCTTACCTGGTTATAGATTGGCAAGGCAAATACTTCCGCCTCCAGATTGGTTCCAAGCAGGATGTAGTCTCCGTAGATCGCCTGAAGCCTGTTTTCAGTGATGCTCCTGTTACTCCTGTGCTCCCTCCGCCTCGAGGAAGACCAAGACTTACTCCAGCGGCTAATCCTTCAGATCCTCCGCCGTCCTCCGCCACCAGATCACCCAAGAAGGTTAGGTTCCAGATCATTCCCCAGGTTCTTCCGCAACCTATACCTGAACGACGGAATCCTCACAGATTTTCAAGAGATAGAAGAATCGGCTCCGCCATTTCTCCGCCATCCTTCTGGGGAGACTACTGTGGCGGCTATGAAAGTTGTCCTAGACTATGAATCCTCCACAGCAGCTAGAAGACTAGGGGGAGTTTACCAAGCCACGTATACATAACCATGTGTAATAATATAAACATTTTTAACCTCGTACATTTACGTAAAAATATAGTTAGTTATTTTTGGAACTCTTTCTGTCAATCTAGTGAGCGCCAGAAGTGTGTATTTATTGACACACAAAGCTATCAAACACTATCCCACCCTCTACCGAACACTGGTAGGTCTAAGTGTGAATCTACCCACACACAAAGCTATCAATCTCTATCCTCTCTACCAAGAAATTGTAGGTCTAAGTGTGCATTTATCTACACAGAAGGCTATCAGACTCTTTACTCTCTACCCCTAGCAATGGTAGTTCTAATTGTCCGTAAACAGAGTCTATATTCAACTAACTATATTTAGGTATAAAGGTACAGATAAAGATTAAACTGACCAATAATATGGTTAGGTGACTATAACGAAATGTATATATAGGTAGGTTCAGGTTTCAAAGATAAGGTTATAGTTCTGTATTACTCTCTGAAGTCCTGAGTAGTCTCCTAAAGACTATCCATTAGTCTTCCGTCCTCAATATTCTCCCTTAATCATCTCCTGATGTAATCTCACCCTGATCTTCATAGGGGTTGCGGGAAGACATGCCAAACACTTGTATAATGCATATAGCTATAATAAGTAACATTTCTAAGGGGGAAAACACCCCTTTGAAATTGAGTTCAAGATCATTTTTTACCCACCAAACCCTTATTTTAACCTTTGCCGATAAATCCCAGGGAAGGGGCGAGAGGACTACTGCCCCCCCCCCATGTAGGCACCTGACAGAAGAGTAAAAACAATTTTTTCGAAAGCCGGAGGTGTAAACAAAGTAAATTTTTTCATTTTTTTCTTGAAGTGTAAAGTCGTAAGATTTAAAGAGAGGTTTTCAAAACATTCATTTCTATATGACTGAATCATTGAAATTATGCTGTAGGTAGAATGTGAGACACGTGTGTGAACCATATCCCTCAAATTTCCCCTGTTGTAAGGTCGTCTCCGTCAAACTGTATCTCCGTTGAACCCTCCGTCCACCCACCAAACCAAACATTGCCAAGGATTTTGCATAAACATAAACAATAACCTTATGGAGCTAATAAAACTTTAAGTGCATTAAAAGAACCCATTTAAACATAATTTTCAGTGAATCATTTGCAATCAAACAGTGAACTTATTTAACCAGACGAATATTTATTTTCAGAAGAATTAAATTGCTTTAGACTTCAGTTCAAACAACTTTTCGGCCTAACACAGTTTTCTAGATTGTAAGTTCCATATACCTAATTCACAACAGTACCTTTTAAACCTTTTTTTACTAAGCAGTTCACAACAGTGCCTTTAAACCCTTTATTTATCGATTCACAACAGCAATAAAATATGAACCCCAAATCCTGCTAAACCTACTAAACCTAAAATCTCCAATCCTGCGAAACCTACAAAACCTAGAATTCCAATACTCATTTATTGATAAAAACCTTCAACTGTTTAATCTTTATTAACAATTATTATTTATATATGTATGTACGCCAATAACAATTTGTATTTTGTAGGAAACCTCGTTACTGAAATATACATTTTCAAGAAGTTCTCATCTATCTGTGTGTGGTTGGAAAGAGTGTTTCCCTAGCCTATTTGCCTTTGGATTTGTCATTCTTCAAATTACATATCCTCTGCTTCAGTTCATCCCGCTTCGAGCAATATTCCTTTTGATCGGCTCACAACGTGATATTTGACTCTACGCAAGAAATGTTTCTCTTTACATATCTGAGAAGGGAGTCGCGTAGTGTACGATTTAATCTATACAATACATGCAGTAAGCAAGTTAAGTCTACTTATATAACATTGCAAGGATTGATTGAACAATCTCGCATGTAGGGCTTCCACCGGAATTTTGATTTTCGGTTTACGTACCAAAAAAGGAAATTTTAGGAACATTTATTTGGAATATTTTTTCGGAACAACGTCTTGAAATATTTTGCCAGAATCTCAACAATTTTAGGGGGAGCCTTGAATACTCTACCGGAAATTGAGCTATACATTAGATACGTAAAAAAGTTTTAAAAATATATTATATTTCTTTTTTAATTTTAGAATACCATCTAAAAACAAACCTAAATATGCGCTCCCTGCCTTTTGTCTTTGAAACTAAATTCAAATTTTTGCATTAGATCTCTTTCCAATTCACGTGAAAATGACTAGAAAACAGGAAACAAATAATCTGTAGATAAATAGCTAATTTAACAATCAGCATGCCTGGGAAGACCAGATTTGAAATGAGTAAACTTTTTATGTGAAAATTGACGGGTGAAATTTACTATATAACTGGATTTTGCAATAAAAATTCAATTTTTGCAAATTTGCAAATTTTTTTGCAGATTCGAAAAGTAGAGCACAAGAGATTTCCAATGATGTATCATTTGTCATATTTGAACATCAAACATGGGATTTAGAGGGAGGGTCAAATTGACCCCCAGCATATCCTGGTTTTCAAGTACCCCAGCAGAGATAGGGTTAAATCTCAACCCTATTGACTGGTGTATACCTGACACCTGAGCGCCATCGTTATGTACTCTTTATCATATCCTTTTATTATGCACAAAATCATTATTATTTTCATTTATTGTTTATTGTGTAAAAAGACCTGAAGAATAAATTCTAACCTTCTTTGTCCGGCTAACCCTTGTGTGATCGGATGAACAACCAACATGCAGTAAACTTGGGGTTGCTTGATTTTTGCTCAACAAAAATAATTGTTAAAAAAGTGTATTGACAGAAAAAATATTTAAACTTAATAACTATCGAGTCTGTAATATGGCGCAATAATACATTTGNGAAGAGGAGGGGGTGTAAGTCTAGACAGCGGCGGGGGAAAGGAGGCGGCCATACGCCACAACTTTTAAAATCACATATGGGTTTCCAAATTATTTTTGTATAAAAAGTTTTTACAATCAAAGAAAACTGAGTTATTGCCACGAACTCAAATTTTCTAATCCCTATATCATTGCAACCTGATGATTCAAACTTGTGATATTTCAAACTTATATTATTTGATCTATACCAGAATTTATATTTTGGAATATCAAAGGTCTACTACATTTTATTAGGCTGCAAAGATATAAAGGTTTGAATATCAAAAATTCGGTTCCTGTAATTATGGAAAAATTCTTTTAGTGTTTTTACATTTTTAAAGTTTATATATACAATATAAATGCCTGCATAGCTTGTATGCATGGACAAGTAAACAGATGTAAAAAATAGCACTTCTTTCATAATCGAATTTTTATTTTTCATATTAATTATTTTCAGTATTCATAAATACTGGTTTTAATAGTCCATAACAATTATTAAACTGCGTATAACACTGATAACAATATTATGCATGGTATGGATTTCATGGAAATTCCAAGAGGCCTTTTCATTTGGACCGATCCCCCCCCCCCTCTCCTATCCTCCACCCCCCCTCTCATATCCTGCACACATCACCCTTTCCACTTATAAAATATGTGTCGGTTATAATTATACTGCGTTCTAAGTAGAAAATTTCAACATAATTTCCAAAATCATAGATGTAATCTTTTCAAGAAAATTTTAGTCGCTAATTTAATCTTATTCATAAGTTAAGTTAAAAATGTTAAGACACTTATCACGGCATAAGAGAACTTACCAAAAAAATGGATCAACTTCTATCAAATTTCTTCTTTTACCAAATCGATGATCGAGTGCAAACCACCAAATTGTTTAATAATTTGGGAAATATCTGAGAAAACTTTTCAAGTTTGGCATTTTAAGAAAACTGAAGCAAGTTTAGTAGAGTAAATTGATTTTTGAAAAATAGATTTTCTTAAAGGTTCTCTAGGTTTACTTATAAAGTGAAAAATTGAAAGCATTATATTAAAATGTATGCCCCACCAGAAATTTCAAACGCAAGTCCTCTTTTGAACAATCTTTTTAATTCTCAATGTTTCCCATCTTAAGAGAGGATTTGTAACGAGACATGAGGAAAGCCTGCCTCCTATAATTCAAACAGAGTATAAATAAAATACCTTCTTTGCGAATATCGTGAAAAATAAAGAAATTTCTAGACCTTTGGAGGACGACGGGTGGAAAAGACAAGCAATTAGAAGAGTTGACTAGACTTAGGTAGATTAATTGGAACAGTTAAGTATTGAGGGTCTTACAGTAAGATAAAAAAATGTAAGTAAATTTTAGCTAGATTAAAAGTGAGCAGAATAAGGACAATGCTTAGAAAAACTGCGTAATACGGAAAAGTTCGTTGACCTAGTGCTATAGTAAGCTCAAGGTTACTACAAAATACTAGAACTCAGGGGTTGCACAAAATATAACACATTGTAAGGAAATACAAAGACTGTAAAGAGAGTAAATGAAAAAATTGGAAACTTCGCGAAAATGTGTCTTTGCTCTGTTTTTAAAGGAATTTCTAGTAAACTTTTATATATGTATTACATTTCTTTTGACGAGGTATCTTACGTAATGCGATTTCTTATTTTTTGTCCACTGTTAGGAAAATTTAAGCCCCTGCAGCAAAAAAACGCTTTTTGGGGATATAGCGGCCTTGTGGCTTTTGGTGAAGGACATCCATTCACCTCTTGAGTCAAGTCATTGAACTTTCTAAACTACGATTTTCATTTCAACTTCTGAGCATTCACCTGGTTTTCTGGCTTCAAATATCTGTAACAAAATATTAGCCAGACTTCAGAACATGTTGCGTAGAAAATATGCAATTTTTATTGAATTGCCTTTGCACATCTATGCATTAGATGCTGATTGTTTTGCTTGAACATAATTCCGTTCCCCCTCCCTCCTCCCCTTCTTATATATGAGTTTTAACCGATTTTCTGCGCCGTATCTTTCTGAAGTGCACAATTTTGGACTTGGACAAAATTACTAATATAGAATTTTAGAAATTAGAAAGGAATTGAGTTTTTGCCCCAACCTCAAATTTTCTTATTTCC